TGAAATGGATAAACACGGACTAATTATTTTTGGTACAGTGACTCTGTGTATTCCTTCTTTGTTCTTTTGATGTTTCCTGCATCATTCAACATTTTGTCCATAGAATCTTTCAATATTGCAATGTGAGGCTTGAGTTTCTGATTCAGTTCTTTCATGAGAAATACTGAATGCTTTCTTCCCTTTTGGTTTTCTAACTCCATGTCTTTGCACATTTCTTTATAATGATTGGCTTTCTCTTCTCAAGCTCCTATTTGAAATCTTCCATTCAGCTCTTTTATCTTATCATTTCTTCCATTTACTTTAGCTGCTCTCCATTCAAGAGTATCAGAGTCTCTTCTGACATCCACTTTTGTCTTTTCTTCCTTTTCCGTCTTTTTAATGACCTTTTACTTACAAAGTCAAGTAAACCAAAAATGGTTTACTTACAAGACCATGGATGATATTCTTGATGTCATCTCACAATTTATCTGGTTTCTGGTCACTGGTGTTCAATGTGTCAAATCTTCTCTTTAGATGGTGTCTAAATTGGGGTGGAATATAATCAAGGTCCTATTTTGGCTCTTGTGGACTTCTTTTAATTGTCTTCAGCTTCAGCTGGAAGTTTCATATGAGCATTTATGGGTCTGTTCCATAGTCAGCTCCTGGCCTCATTTTGGCTGTAGATATTGAGCTCCTCCATCACCTCTTTCCACAGATCTAGTTTATCTGATTTCTGTGTATCCCATCAAGTGAAGTCCACATTTATAGCCCACTATGTATGTTGTTGAAAAAGATATTTGCAATGAATAAGTTGGTGGTCTTGCAAAATTCTGCCATGTGATCTCAAGCTTCATTTCTATCACCAAAGCCATATTTTTCAACTACTTGTGATTCTTCTTTGTTTCCAAGTTTTGTATTCCAATCACCAGTAATAATCAATACATCTTGATTGTATATTTGGTCCATTTCAGACCACAGAAGTTGATAAAAATCTTCAATTTCCTTGTCTTGGGCTTTGGTGGTTAGTGCATCAGTTTGAAAAATAGTAGTATTAAGTGGTCTTCCCTGTAGGTGTTTGGATATTATCCTATCACTGACAGCATTGTACTTCAGGATAGATTTTGAAATATTCTTTGTGATGATGAATGCCATGCCCTTCCTCTTCAATTTGTCATTCCCAGCATAGTAGATCCTAGGGTTGTCTGATTCAAAATGGCCAAAACTTGTCCAGTCCATTTTACCTCACTAATGCCTAGGATATCAATCTTTATGCATTCCGTTTCATTTTGGACAACTTCCAATTTTCCTAGATTCGTACTTTGCACACTCCATTTTCTGATTTTTAATGGATATTTACAACTGTTTCTTCCCATTTTGAGTTGTGCCACATCAGCAAATGGAGGTCCCTAAACTTTTCCTCCATCCACATCATTAAGGTGAACTCTACTTTGAGGAGACAGCTCTTCCTTAGTTGTATTTTGAGTTCCTCCTGACCTGACCTGAAGGGCTCATCTTCCAGCACAGTGTAGGACAATATTTCAGGACTATTCATAAAGTTTTCCAATACTGTATCAGACAGTGTTTCACCACTGTTCATAATGTTTTTACTGGTCGGTTCTTTGAGAAATGGATGGCCCCTTCTTTCTTTCAAGTGTCTTAGTCTGGAAGCTCTGCTGAAACCTGTCCATCTTGGATGATCTTGCAGGTATTTGAAACAATGGCAGCATAGCCTCCAGCCTCACGGCAACACATAAGCCACCACAGTATGACAAACTGACAGATGAGTGGCGGCTTTTGAGTCCAGGTACCATTTAAACGAGTTCCTGGTAAAATGTGCTTCTGTTGCCTCAGAGAAGCTTCCATGTAGAAGACCAGCAGAAACAAAGTTTCTAGGGAAGTGGAGCACAGAGAGAGTTGAATGGGAAGAAAGAGACTTGGAACATGAGAGAACAGCAGGGTAGCGATACACTCTTGGGATGAAGTGGAGGTGAGGTTGAGGAAAAGGATAGAGGTAGAGAGGTGTCACCTAAACCAGAGGTCATAGAAATGTGTAGTATTCAGGGAGACAGAAGAAAATGAGAGGAAAACACTACATATACTACATACATACACATACACATATATGTATATGTATATATATATACATATACTATATACATATACTACATACTTCCAACCTTGAAGCTACTAGTACTTTCCCTGAAAACCAGAAAACAAGACAAACAATAAAAGCTAATTTCTTTTGGACAATGAGAACATGAGTATTAACATATCCATCTTGGAACTAAGATACCGATACCACTAATAACAATATTAATACACTTGTTGGTGTCTGTTGGCGTTACACACTATTTTCATGCATTTGCTCAACAATCTTTTTAAACTTTATGATGTGGGCTTCACTGCTTGAGATACATTCATGAGTCTTTCATTAACTGATCAGGTTTCCCTCAGAACTAAGGGCTGAAGCCAGTTAATCACTACATGGGTCATTCTGCAAGGTTGCTATAGTCAAATCACCAACATTTATTCCTGATGGGACACAATTTAGAACGGTGTTGTTTCTCAACCTCTTTTACATTACTCCCTAAGGAGTTTTTCGGAGTCTCTGGATGGTACAGGCAGTTAATGTGTTCAGCTGCTAACCAAAATATTAGCAGTGTGAGCCCATTCAGAGGCACCTCAGAAGAAAGGCTTGATGAGCTGCTTCTAAAAAATTGGCCGTTGAAACACTATGGAACATAGATCTACTTTAACACACATGAGGTCACCATGAATCAGAATTGATTCAAGGACAACTGGTAAAATAGAATTTTTTTGGACATCCCCCCCCCCCCCCCCGTGAAATTGTAATACCACAGATATGCTACATGTTTGTTTAGGTAACCCAACCTTTTAGAGAACCACCAACCTTTGCAATGTCTAAAGTCCCCTACCACCAACAAGAACCAAATTTGCTTCCTAAAGTATGATATCTCCCATGTTCAGAACACATGCATTAAAACCATCCAGCAGTGATGATGGCCCTTCCAAAGTGATGTTTTCATTTTATAACTGCCTTCCTCTTATGTACAGTTAATGTTTATTCCCTTATCTCTGGTTGTCAGCCCCTTTGCTGCCTGCCTCCCCTAAGTAGCTGGAATTGAACCTGTATCAGACCCCGGCACAGCAGGAAATACCGAGAAAGCATGCTCACAAATCAGAGAGCCCTAGGACATTCACCAGCTGCAGTTTCTGGAAATGAAATCTACATGTCAGTAGGGTCTAATTAAAAAAAAAAAAAAAAAAAGATGTTTGAAACTTCTTTTTCCTACTAACTTTAAAGAGGAGCAAGGGATGAAGTATCTCCCTATCAGATGCAGAATAAAGATCAATAGCATGGTTTAAGGCACCTTTCTGCCAGTGTCAATTAAATGAAATCAATTACCTAATGTAGCTTTTCTATTGTTCTTTGCTGTGTCCAGTGATCATATAACCAGCATGTCTATTTATAAAGGATATTTTCTGGAAATACTAGGCATATGGTTATCGTGTAAGAGAAGGTATAAAGAACTCAACTGTGAGACCACAAATAGAGGTCTAAGATGTGTCTGTTTAAGTCTTCACTATGTTTCTTACTACCTATGTGTCCTTCAGAAATCCACTTAAATTATTTGAACTTTGGATCTCATTAAAATTATGCTAATCCATATATACGTATGCAGCACAGATATTTGCTTGTAGTAATTACTCAATAGATAGGGAAGTAGTTTCCTTGTTGCCTCTTCTTTTTGGATATGGATTCAGACTTCAATGCACTGGGAATAATAAAACCATCAAGTCAGTTAATATTAACATCAAAGGAAAAAGAAAGGAACTATAATTTATTGAACAGCTACTCTATTGAGTACTGTTATGTGCATGCTCTTGGGTTAGGTCGATTTTGACCTGTAGCGACTCCCCGTGACAAAGCGGAACTGCCCCATATTATTCCCTGCGGTATAATCTTTACGGGAGTAGATCGCCACCTGTTTTCTCCCCTAAAGATTCTGGGTCCATTGGAACTTCCATTCTTTTGGTTAGTAGCTGAGCGCTTAACCATTGCACCACCAGATCTCACATTAAACCAAAAAGTTGGGTTTCACATATAATCTTATTTATTCAATGATTTATTTATTTATTCATTTATTCAAATGAATATTCACTCATTTATTCAGTCAACAGAATTTATTGTGCATGTAATTGGTGTCAGATATAGAGAACTGTCTTCTCAGAGCCAATATCCACAGTTTCCTATATTCCTTCCAGCAGATTGCCTGGCATTGGGAATTTCTGCAAGAATCATTAAAATAAAAACATCATCTCAAGTTCAACTATTATTGTTATGGTCAAAAAACTCTCTGCTCACTTCAGGAACAGCCTTACCTGTGGCCAGAGTCTGTCATGTTATCTCTCTGCTGGGCCACATAACTGATTCAGTTAATTGCAGGGATTACATGAAGGAATTGGTGTGAGCGAGAGAAGCCATTACGCTGTTCCTGACCAGACTGCATTGCAGTGTTCATTAATCATGCCAGCCGATAGAATCACAACCACCATATGGTACACTTGAGACCACACACCATATGCATTGAAAAGCTCGCAAAGCTGCAGTGCCTTTCTGCACTGCTTTTCACTCTGGTCCCTCCCACCATTTACAACAGCCCTGCTCCTACCCTTCTGGTTCTAAAACTTGAAATAAAAGTCAGGATCACATCATGCTGCTTATTGTGATTTATGGGGATGTGATAGGCTTGGGTCACCTGGAACCACCTTGGGCTACTCAGCTTCATGACCCACACAGATTATCTGGACTCAGAGCCTTTCAGAGTAACATGGGAGTTAAACATGCCCTATCCTACAGCATGCCTTCTTTAGGTAAGAGAATCAGTAATAATCATGGGACACAGTGATAAGTGTCTGATGCCTTTGTTCATTGGTTTCCTTATCTCTCTCTGTTCTCTCTCTCCCCCCACCCCATTACTTTTCTTTGACATGCACAGCCAACATCAGATGACCTTGTTTCATCTGCTGAATGTTCTAGTGATGATGAAGACTTCGTTGAATGTGAGCCGAGTACAGGTAGGTCAGGTCAGTCTTGTTTTGCTTGCTTTATTTTTTCATTTGCAAAAAACAATACATACATATATGTGCATATATACATGTTTTATATATATTATAGTGTGTAATGTGTGTGTATCTCTGATATCTATATATGTATGAACATACATATATAAATATTAATATATAAATGAAAGCATCAAATCCCATGGAATGAGCTTAAGATCCCAGGGAAATTTACAATCAGACCCTTAATAACTAAAGAAAAATCTATGGGGTAGGACCTAATTTGGGGCAATCAGATGTCCAGAGTCACCACCAAAACTGCAAATGTGTACCAGCTAGTGGCAGACATGAAATTGACAGCAGGTGGGGGCATGAAAATATCGATTTGATGTTGGAAAGACATGAAAAAAAACTATGAACCCAAAGTGGGGCCATAAAGATTGGTAAATAGCATCTATACCTTGTGAATTGTTCTGAGCCCAAGAGACAAACAAAGCAAAACAAAAACACAGTTTTCCATGGGCTTTTGACAGCAGTTAACATGGTCTTATATTGATACTAGTGTTGTTTGTTGTGTGTCTAGAGAACTTATGAAGCAAAATAGTATAGTGAAGCAAAATTAGTACTGAACCATGCATGTCAACGGCTGTGATGCTTCAAAATGTACCTCCTATGCTGAAGTTGAGAGGACTTTGGCAATTAGAAGCGTCAATGTGTTCCCTTTTTGCACCCAGATACATTTTGATGTTTTATGGTCTTTCTTTATAGTGAGCTATATATGATATAATGTCCAGCAGGTATCTGCAATATCTTATTACTTCCTATCAACTTTTCCAAGTCAACTGTTTTGAGACTTGCTACAAGTTAAACATTTATATAAATATATATATATATATATATATACACATAATATATACACTTTATATATATTATATATATATATATATATATATATATAATAGAGAACAGATATCATTGAATTTCTGTGTATGTTTAATAGAATTAAAAGCTGCAGATACATTAGGATCTTATTTTATCAAAAGCTAAAAGAAATAAATAGAATTTTCTAGTTGATTCTTTTCATTGTTTTATTTTTTTCTTCCTTTTTTAAGGAAAGGCAAGTCATTAAATATTTCATTTTGCTAATTCCAGAGAAATCTGAGCTTCATTTTAAAAAAAAAAAAAAGTAACAGAAGTAAAACACCCTCCATTTTTTACCCCAAAATGATTGACAAATATTGATGACTGACTCCTTAGTGACTTGTAAGTGGCTTTGACTCCAGGAAGTTCTATGGGTTCCTGTCCTTAGTGGTACAGGGATATATCAATAATAGATAGGGCTTTTCCATTCTGAGTGTGATGTATTCATTTGGAATTTAGTTGTGTACCAGGAAAGTAAATTTGGTCCAGCTAATCAGATTTTTTTTCAGTTTATTGACTAATAATTTTAGTGTACTAAAGTGAGGTTTTAATTCTAAAGGGCAGATCCTTCCAATCTATAGCAGAATGTAGACTCCAAGTTCTTATTCAGTGATTAACCCACCCACCCATTCATTCATTCAATAAATATTTCTTGAGCACTCATGCAGGATACAATATATTCCTAGATTTGAGTCCTTCCTATTTTAATAATTTTCATAAATGAGCTGTTGAAAAATAGAATAAAGAGATTTATTGCCAAAATTACTTTTCCAACATACCTTAGTTCAACAGATATTTTTTGAGGGCCAATACTATTTATGTTTGATATCTATGGTAGATATTAAGAATTCAGATATGAATATGATATGAATATGACATCATGTCCAAGGCATGATTAAATTAATTGACGTTATAGCTAATAGTTTAAGATATTTTGACTTTAATTTGGTTTACTGTTTATCTTTTTTTTTTTTTTTTGGTTTACATGCTTTGTCAGTGGTGATACTTATGTATGCAACATTTGTGAAGTCCTTATATTTTAAGTATTCTTGTAAAATCTGAAGCTTGAACCTTCAGAAATATTACTACCACCCTCCCCTCCTCACAACACCCTTACTCTCTGCACACACTGTCATCTCCTTAGAAACTTCAACAGTAAGGGAGAGGTTTTTTTTTTTTTTTTTTCCTAGATAAGATCCACAAGATCTCTCTCTCCTCAGATGGTGGGTATGCCATTTGGTATTAAACTCGCACAAGTCCAAACATGAATAGTTTCAAACTAAGTCCATTTGCTTTTCAGTGGCTGCAAAGATATTTCATCTGATTCAAAAGCAGGGGACACAAACCCAATGCCAGCATTTCTGAAATAATATAATTGCATCTAGTGTGTGTGGGATAAGAGCAATTTTTAAAATGATATGTGTTCTGCAGCGGACCTCAGGGACAAGGGAGTGGGTCAGGTATGTAAATAAAGTAGGTCACAGAGTCCCCATCCTGAAGGAATTGATCCCTTCTCCTAGGATTATTCAACTCATCAAAACAGAAGAATAAGCATTTCCTCTTTCTAAATATAGCTACCCATAAAGTATTCCTGGTAAGTGATTTGGATAAACGGGATTATGTCAGAAGCATATTTAATATAGGAAGGAAGTAGATATATTCCTGCTGATGTCTGGAGAGCAGAGGCTTTGCCCTGGGGACCTGATTAGTTCAGACGAGGGTCACACATACAGCTCTCAAGCCCTCTTCTCCATTACACAGGAGGTAGCTCCCCAGCCTTCACATCTCCCCAAAACAATAAGGATTAAGCATCAGAGACATCTAAACCAGTAGTTTCTGGGGCAGGTTTTGCACTGCCTAAACGGAAGTTTCCCATTGCCCATGCAGCAATAGAAAATGGTGACATTTACAAAACTTTGATATAAAGTGTTGATCCTGAGATGGAATTTGAATATTGAGATTAAAATCTACTTTTGACCTCATAATTCACTGACTCAGTTTCCAAAATTATACTTTTTTCATCAAGACTAAGGCTTAATGGGAAGAAATAAACTTGATTTATTACCCAGGCCTTATTCTATTGTATTTAACAATTACTTTGTCTTCTTTCATTTGGTTACCGAGTTTATTATTTTCTATCCATCTCAGTTACCACATTATTTCTTGATTAGTTTACATACATTTGAAACCCTCAGTTTTCATAAATTTGGGCAGTTTTGTGTGTGCTGTGATTCAACTATTTTTATTTTCATTTAAATGAAATTCTTTTCCTAATTTCATATCCTTTGAATGAAAATGAATTTCAATTTTTAGTCAGATGTAACCAATTGCCTTTTCACACCCAGAACCCATTTTGACATTTGCAGTTCAAACTCACTAGCCAATCCTGAGGAGAAAGATGTGGCAGTCTACTTCTGGAAAGATTTACAGCCTCGGGAACACTATGGGGAAGTTCTACTCTGTCCTATGTTGTTGTTGTTGTCATGTGCCAGACCTGACTCATAGCAGCCCCTCCTTGGGTTTCTGAGGCAGTATCACTATGGTAGTAGATTGCCCCATCTTCCTTCTGAGGCGTGGCTGGTGGGTTTGAACTGCCAGCCTTCTGGTTAGCAATCAAGTGCCTTAGGCACTACACTACCAGAGCTCCCCTCTGTTCTATAGGGTTGACTATAAATCAGAATCTACTTGATGGCAATGGGTTTGTTTGGTTTTTGGTAGTTTGGTATAGCTCAGCTATATCATTTTTGGGGACAATCTACATGTTTCAGAGTTGGGCAATTATAATCTTAAGGACTGCATGTCAAGTGGATCTCAACTTTGCATATCAAATGGCTCTTAAATTCCCACTGTATATTTTCTCCCTGAAAACATATAAATAAGCACAAAACAAACAAAAACCAAAACTAAGCCATGAGATCAAGACACAGAGTGAAAGCTCAAATAGTATTTGTTAATCAAATTAGTACAATTCTTAAAATATCCCATGATCATAAATTAAAATTGGAGAATATTTTTTCATACTTCTAACTTCATCTCCCTTTAAGTAGTTAAAATAAAGCGTATTGAATTATTTAAAACCTATCATTTCATATAAGTAAATATTGCCCTAAAAAACCTACATTTCTTCCACATTCTTGTTTTTCCTATCCCTTCTCTTCCTGACTCATTTTATGAGTCACAGACAAGACTGTACTTTCTGAACACGTGCTTTAAGGACCTAAAATTGAATTTTTAACTACACAATCCTAATGAAGCTATCATATCTAAAGGTGAGGATCAGGGTTTTCACTTTCCTAAGTTATAAACTTTGACAGTATGTTCCACAAAAGAAGTCAGAGTCTGCATAATATTTCACAGTCATTTCTTTGGATAGAAACCTTTCCTTCCTTATCACCCTTCCTGGATATTAAATTGTGCAATACACCCATATTTCATTGTCCTTCTTATTTCTTCCAATAAGAAAAGTGGATGAGCTAGAAAGAGGCCAAACAACCACCAGGATGTGGAACTCCCTCATGAAGATCATGGAAGCCAAATAACTATTAAGATCTTTAGTAAATTCATATTTCTGATTAAAATGTGGGAGTGAATTCTGAAATGCAGAGAAATTGCTGCAATTCACTTTCATAGTCTTCTCTCACTGTATTTCCTACTGCTATACCTAATATCTCTATTTTAAAAATAGGTATCAAATCAAAACAAAGTATTCTTAGATTAACTTTTGTGTAATTAGAAATTGTTAACTTTGTATATTTCATGTATTTACAGTTCTCAGTACTCTAAAAGGCCTTGATGGGCGGGTAGGGGGTGCAGGGAAGAGAAGACAATAAAAATAAATTCCTCTTACACCTGAGAAATAGACATGGTTATAATTAACAACCATATCCATTCATTGATTTCGTATCCCAGGATATGTTTTTCTGGTTGTCACTTAGCCAGGCTTTTTGCATCCGCTTTTGCTGAATGTGCTTTGATCAAATCTCAAGGGACAACACTTGCACCAGAGGGCAGACAGTAAAAGGAAGTAAAGATGAAACACATCCATCTATCAACAGGTCTTTGCTAAACAACTTTTATAATGGCTGCATTGAGGG